TGCTACACACTAATGAGGACTAGTATTGTCATGTAAATAAGACAGACTGCGAAGTAAAGATGTAACACTTCTACACTTAATGATTATAACAAAAATGAGAACCTGCTGCAGACGAAGTACTGCATAATTAATGTGAGCGTAGCTGAGCAGTAAACACAAGTGCTGATACAAACTGGGACAGGAAAAAAAGGTATAGTAACACAGTAACACATCAAGCGTTGTGCTGACTGCTGAGTATAGACTTGAAAGCACGCTCTGGCTTCATATGCATTTTCCTTTCATCAAAGATAGATGACACTATGGCCCTCAGGATTACTTCAAGATCAACAACAGTAAGACACCCTGTCATCTATCTGAATAAAAGACAAATGCATTTGGAGCCAGAGAGTGTGACACAAGAAAGAAAAGGAGCATTCAAACTACATTGAGATAATTCAAGGAAAACACACCAGCACTGTGTTTGCTGACTTACTGCCAAGACACCTGTGGGAAATGCAGCACAAAGGCAGCAAACACAATAAATCTAGTTGTTTTAAAACTGTTCTGAGTAATGTACAGTCAAGTTTCAGCCTCATTCAAAGTCCTGTCTTTAGTGACACACAGGACAGTGGTTACCAGAGACAGAGACGAGGACAGGGAGGACCACGAAGACGCTGGTCCATGTCTGACATGACAGGGAAGAGGGAGACACAAACACAGATAAACACACATAAACATAGGCATAAACACTGAGATGTGTTTGTGCATGTGGAAGTGGGAGAAGCTGTTTACACTTGTACATTATGCTGAAATAAGTCCTAAAGCGATAATGAAACTAGTACACACACACCAATGTTTACTCCAGGTGTTATTACCCAGATGCCACTCAGAGGCTGAACATGGCGGCTGGTAACCTGAGCTGTGACAGGAAGCTCCGACATTCTCCACATAGTGACAACAGCACTGAGTGGTCTACACTGACTCAGTATTTACAATGGTGTGGCCAGCACTGACACATTTATATTAATGAGGACATGTGTTATGTCTATCTGTACTAACACATAAAACACACAGAAACGGTTTGAATCATGGTTTAACTGCTCCATGTTTATCTAGTAATCATGACTGTGTCTGAATACTTATGGCTACAAGTCAAAAACTAACAGAGGTTGGTTTTTCTACATTCAGACCAAAGCCTTTGGTTGACTGAAAGAAAAATGATCCACCACAAATTGATTACTGATCCAAAAAACCAACTGAAAAAAGAATGAGCACATTGATAACGAAATTAATTAGACAAAAAAACTGACAGAAAGAGAAATAGACTAGGAGCCAGAGAGAAACTGACAAAAAGACAAATAAAGAGATGGAGAGAGACAGGGAGAGAGAAAGACAAAGAGACAGAGCAGATCAAGAGAAAGACAGACAAAGAGAAAGACAGGAGGAGGCAGAGAGAGATAGAGAAAGAGACAAAAAGAGAGAAAGACAAAAAGACAGACAGACAGACAGACAGACAGACAGACATCTATCCAAATGCAGACAGACAGTACGTCCACAGACAGGAACGCAGCAGAAGCTTTGTCCCATCTCTTTTGTACAGCAGGTTATCTGTGAGCCTTGTCTCTGCTGAGCTCGGTACAATGACTCAAACACCGACTGTGACACCTGAAGTCTCTGTCCGGTGAGTGAGGCAGTGACACGCTCACAAGGACTCAGTGCCGTCAGGGCTGCTGATGCTGCTGCTCGGTTTTATGGAGAAAGTTACTGTGGGTAGACAAATCTAAATATGTGAAATCCAGCAAAACAAGGTGAACAAGCAACAAAAGCAGCAGCGACACAGTGGCATTCAGGCTGAGTATGTCCCCATTTCACTCCAATTACTCTTATCTAATGTACATTGCAGTATGAGTCACATGGTGCTTGCACTCAAACATTAAACTGTAGGCGAAGAATCAGCCCACTGCACAGGACCAAGAGTTTCAGCAGCTCACTGGGCCTTAAACCTGTTAACTGTGACACACACATCATGAAGGGAAGCAGAGAGCGGAGAACCACCACCGTCCACGAAACAAGAGGACAGCCGAGCACAGATCAGCTGTGTGTTTTATTATGAAGTGGAATGTCATCCTCAAACACAGACAGGAAAAACAGATTAAACATCCATTATCTCTTAATTACTCTGCGTTACATAACCAGATAATGAGCTGAGGCCACCTACACTGTGTGGCCTTGCATTAAGGAGCAATAATGTCACATTATACGTCTTTAACACCAGATTAGTGGGTATACATATATACACAGTTTTTTCTTTTAAATAAAGCGATTGACTCCTTTGCCACTGTCAATAGAGAGGACTATGGAGCTAAATTCATGCCAAAACATAACAAACAAAAACAGTGTGGTTAAAAATACATATTTGTATATGTAAGATTACATTGCGGTACATGCATTTATTTGTACATGTGGAATTTTTTTCACTTTTATGAAAGTCAGTAAGCTATTTGTTTCTGAAGCATCATTTATTATAAATATGTTGTGTATTTGTTTGTCTTTTGCATCTTGTCATAAAAAAGCTAATGCATTTGTTTATTAATGGTATTGTGTATTTGCAAACCATGCAGTGTTCACAAGTGAATGGAAGGGAATTTGTAAAACATGATTTGTTTGTTAAGTTTTGGCATGAATTTAGCTCCGTATTTGCCGATCGGAATAATTTGACCTGAGATTGAATGTCGAGTGTCCTGTTGCAGACAAAATTCAGATGTTATTGGGTATTAGAGTTAATTTATGTTCAATGTTAGATACGTAGATAAAAACGGACAGAGCCCTCTGTTCATACTCTGCGTTCATTTCTTCCATGTATGCGCTCAAAGTCTGAAACTAACGGATATGGACAAAACAGCCGCAGTACCACCAGAGATAATGGGGGGCAGTGTAGCCAACAATTCAAGCGAAATATGACATGAAGAAGAAATTTCAACAATGGTCATCTATTGAGGCAGCATAAATTAAAGTTTGAAAGTTTTTTGACCAGTGGAAAAGGGGCTTATGTTTCTTGGATAAAATCAATGTGAAATGAAATCGGTTAAGTCAGATCTGCAAGTACACGGGAAGTTCTGAATTTCAAATTACCTCCCACCTCAGTAATACACATCTGTCTTCATTATTCCATCTGTAAACTGTGGTGTAAGAGACACTCAAACACACACAAACACACACACACACAGTCAGAGTCGGTCCAGTAAGTGTCTCCAGGGAAATCCCTTAAATCTCAACATGTTTTCAGACCAGCAGCCGTTAACAACGTGGCTCTGTAACTCTCTGTAACGGCAGCACAACTCCACTGTGCTTGTCCATGTGGCAGCGACAGTGTTTACATTTCACTGACTATAAGACGTGTTTCAGGCTGTGACTGCGCCCTGCTCCAGCCGATACACACACCTTCACAGTTTACTGTCACAACGTCTCCCTCTGGAACAAGTGCTCAGTTTAAAGCTCCAGCCTCAACAGCTGTGGGTTAGACTAACGGTCTCTCCAGGAGCTTTTACAGTTTCTCTCCCCTCCGGACGAGGATGATTCAATTCCTCATGTGAGGATCAAACACGTGAAACTCATAATGCTCTGATAAGTGTGACCACAGCGGAGTCCGGACTGCCCCCACATGTGGGTGCTGCTCCATCCACATCACCTCAACCTCATAATACTTATAATACACATCTCATTTCAGGGGTTTAAACTTTCAAGTGACTTGCCCGCCACAGGTGGACTTACTACAATCCCAAGGTGTGTAAAGAACAAGGAGGGACAAAGATCAGACTGCTGTGACCACATCTAAACTGAGATGGAGACGAGAGACAGCAGGGCTGGGAGAGGATAATAACCTGGGCACAAAGGGAGAGGAGTATGAAATCAACTCAGGAACTTACAATGAGCGTGGTAGTACACTGGTGATGGTGAGGCTGGACATTCCAGAGTGAATTGATATATACCTTTAGACTACATGAAAAGATGTCCTCACACTCTCACACTCAGCAATTCTGACTTTCCTCCTCTTTCCTTCATGTAAGCGGACTGACCTGCAGCATCTGGACCAAATCTGCTGCCTCTCTGCCTTCCAGAGGAAGCGGTGCACCACGCCAAAGCTCGCAAATCATGTGGATACGTGGATGCAGGACATGGATGTCTGTCAGCAGTCGTGCCAGGATGTTCCTGTGTGGTGTCTGTATTAGTCTATAACAGTGTGTGAGGGCTGGGGGGGTGCAGGGATGCGATAACCAGAGAATACTGAAGATTTCAGACTCTCAACTGGCTGTCCACAGTCTGTCCTCACACAATCAAGTCTGTCCTTTACCAATCTTTCCTCAAATAAACTAGCCTGCCTCCTCTAAACCCAGTCTGTCCTTACATTAAACAAGTCTGTCCTCATGTAAACAAGTCTATCCTCATCTAAATACAATCTATCCTTATTTAACCTGTCTGTCCCCCAGTAAAACTACTTTGTCCTGCTCTAAAACCAGTCTGTCTTTATATTAACCAGTCTGCCCTCATATAAAACCAGTCTGTCCCCCTGTAAAAGTAATCAGTCCTTCTCCAAAACCAGTCTGTCCTCACACAAATCACTCTTTCCACCTATGATCCACTATGTCCGCATGAAAACCAGTCTGTCTTCACATAAGACCAGTCTGTCTTCACATAAGACCAGTCTGTCCTCGTGTAAAACCAGTCTTTGGGACCATGTGCTACTAAGCTGGCACATCTGGATCTGCCAGGCTGCTGTGAAGTGGACACACATGAACTCTGAAGTTTCCTGACTGATTCAAACCGGTCTACAAAGAAACCATGTATCTTTAGTTTCTAACAATGCTCCAGTGTTGAAGTGGAGCAGACACAGACAGGCCCGGGAAGAAGAGGGGGGACATGAGAGGACCGGTGTGTGGAGGAGGACGCCTCGCTGCTGGGGAACCAACGACACACGCCGGTGATGCGGAGCCCCACAGGCCGCTGCTCTCCGCGGGTCTTACCTCCACGCTGAACGGCTGCTCCTCTCCGTTCACGGAACATAAAATCCACAGTAGCAGCTGCAAACACAGCGTCCTCACACAGCAGCCGTGCACACGCAGCGCCGGAGGAGCCATGGTGGAGCCGAAGCTGTCGCTCTGCTCCTCGGTTCGCTTTTTATTTACAGTCGCTTCCTCTCAGACGAAACGTACAAAAAATCCTAGACGTCGACAGCGGACGAGAGGAGCTGGGGGTCGGCTGCTTCCGCCGCGGTTATCAGGAGGATGTTGTCCCCGGGGAAAGATGAGCTGTTAACGCCTTTCAGCAGCCTCCCGGTCCCGCAGTCCCCGGGTCGGTCCTCCGGTGCAGCGGCCGTTGTTCCAAGCGGACGAGTCCAGCCCGTTTTCTGCTCCGCGCGGCATAGCTGCCCGTTTTCTATCGTGTTTCCCACCGAGTGCGCATGCGTGAACCGAGCGCCCCATCCCACTGCTCCTCCAGAGGGTCCAACAGAACCAGTCTGTCCTCATCTAGAACCAGTCTGTCCTCAT